ATAATGTAAGTTTACCATGCATTTCTTGCATGCATGATGTAGGATGCACGTCGATAGTAATGGTCAGAGTAGCGTTTACAATTACACACCCATGTCGTGAGTTTGGTTAATGTGGGTGTAGGGCCTACAGTATTGAAAATTTACAGAGGTCTTCTTGAGGGTGTTGTCAACTATCTGCACATATTATCTTTGCAATATCTGTACATTATCTGCACATTATACATTATCTGCACATTATAGGGGGCAATTATCTGCACATACATACTTTGACCTGCGTAGGCCTATTTTGAACACAGTGGCTATATTAGCAGCCCGGCAGCCGGCGTATATCTGACGGCTGCCGGGCATATAGCCACAGCGTATTTTGAACGGCGTGGAGTCGTTGTTAATGAACTAATGTGGTGTTTACCGGTGTTGTACGTGGCACATAACGGTGATATTGTGTAGTGCGTAGCAATAGATTTAACCCCTGTACTTAATCTCATTGAGAAAAAGAATAAACGGGCATTGTTACTGTTACGTATAAGTCGTTGCATGTATTAATTATGTAAAGTCATCGTACGATTTCGGGTAGAGTATACCTTACATAAATTTACAACACCAAGGCTGCAGTTCCAGTTGTACCATGGACCATGGTGTTTGTATGTTGTAGCAACCGTGGTTGTTCATTGTAGGATATATAGTGTCCCACAAATTAAAACAAAAAAATCGGTTGCACAAGTTCGATTGCCGTGGAAGTAGGAAACCGTGAGGTTAGTTCTGACTTCTGTAACCTTGCCTCGAGTGTATTATAACACGGCCCTGTAGTCTGCAGCAGAAATAGGGATAGTAGGTGATTTTTTATAACTGATTCCAATAGGTTATCCAATAGCTTATTAGATAGCTCCAGTCATGAGAAACACGAATCTGTTTACAGAATTAAACAATTCCACCCCTGTGAGAAGTTAAGGCATATTTTGTGACAGAATTTTTTACCCATTTTGCGGAATCGTTAAGTATTGCAAAGTAAGTATTGCCTAAAACATCTCGGCTCGTGCCGCGGCTTTGTTTTTTTCAAGCCTACGTTATCGTTATCATATTTACATGTCTCAATACTATACGACATATCCCTGCAATCTGTTTACATGAGTGCGCTATCGCATCTAATACAAGTGGTGCAAATAAAGGTGCATTTTCAGTGAGATTAGTGACGTGAAATTACACATGGACTACTGCACAAATGCAGGTTCGAAATTTCTAAAAGCCGCCACCAGGTGCCACTGCTGCTGATCGTAAAACCTGGCATATCTTATCGTCTATGTGAATGCGTCGAGCATTGTCCAACCACAACACATTTCAATAAACTAGATGCGTATTACGTCCTGCACCATTAACTCTCCGATAATGTGCACATTGAGTTTCACCATTAATTGCATGCGCAACCAACTTGGTGTGAAAATCGCATCTTTCTCCATAAGATCTTCTCCATCTAGTATCACATTTTAATTCATTTTCACAAACGTGCGACATTGCATGCTTTTTCCCCGCCCGTTTAAGCTTAATTGTTATCGTAAACGTACATCACAACTATTGCCGTGGATACAGATGGCTCGTGAGCGTATCGCAGCGAATGTCGTCCCAATTCGCCGCCGTAATGTCGTTTTAAACTTGTCGGTCCATCAGCGTACAGTGTGAACAACGTGCGACGTCACGTTATTGATTGGTTTACCATAATCTCGCGTGGTGTTGAACAGACCCAGATCCGTCTGCTATCCATTATTCAGCGGGATTTGGACTTCAACCGATGGCCGAGTGGCTTCTCTGCGATTTTTGCCCCAGGGAGAAATACACATTTTACATACTAGGGTATTTGCTTATTTAGCAGTCATGTACTATTTTCAAAAATCCTTTATAGCCGAGCTCGTAAAGCGCGAGCGTTACGTCTGGAAGATCGTTGGTTCGAATCCCATCTGTTTAGTTTTTTTATTTTATTTTTTTATTTTTTTCTGTTTAGGGTTAGGGTTAGGGTTCACAATGCGTATACATGTGTACACATGTGTATTATGGACCCGAGCGATCCCGAAGTTGCGCCCTACTACCATTCGGCTATTTCCGGAAAAATGTGTATTTCTCCCCGATACACGATTCCTTCGCTGCGGATCGTGTCCGTAATTGAACCCAACTGCGCTCTTCATCTAGATATCTGACGAGCGCTGTCGGCATTGCAAGGCGTGAGATTTCGCTCGCGATGAAGATTTCAATGGGAACGAGTTGATTGAAGTTGAAATTGAATTTGGCTCTTAATTTCCTTTCGAGGAGCGATCGGCGCGTGTTGACATTTGCCGTCGTAGTTTTTGCTTTCTCATCCTAACCCTCGGAGGAAGGGAGGGAGGATGGAGGGACAAGTGAATGGAGAGAGTTATATGTACGGCCCTACGGTTTATAGTATGTGTTCGTACAAATTGGCAGTTCCAGTTAACTGACAAAAACAACAAGACGTTGCAGCCGTCTATCGATTTTCCACGTACAAAATAACCGGATAAATCTATAAACCTAAAAATCTTCTAGAAGTGTCACTTTTGCATTGTAGTGCATAAAATTTGCTACCTGGAAATGCGTGAGTTGTCGATAAAAACTATTGTGGGCTAGTAAGTATCAGCTGCCCTGAAACATTATTCAAATTGGATCAAGGATAGTTTGGGACCCCACATGTGTTTTTGCATAGGGTTTGCACTTTTGGCGGACAACGTGACAATTCTCGACGTCAAAAATGCTCATTAATGTTGACTTCTTCTTCTTATTTATTTTCGTTACTGATTTATATCAGTAACTTATTTAGATAGATATTACAGCTAGATTTATATATCGGTTACTTATACTACTTGCTGATTTTCGTTACGTGGTGGTGTATCTCGCAGTGTAATTGGATGTGTTGTTATTTTGCAGCATACATAAAGAATGGGAGAGAACGGGGAATCTCTGCAGGCTTACAGCCGCTGGGAGGAGTTTGATGAAGCCAATGGAGACCTAGAGATTTCCTATCCACCGCCTCGCAAAAGTATATCTACTTCTTCTTTTTCTTCTTCATCTTCTTCTTCTACCTTTTCTTCTTCTTCTTCTACCTTTTCTTCTTCTTCTTCTTCCACTTTTTCTTCTTTTTCCTCTTCTAATTTTTCGGTCCCCTTCCTCTTCTTCTTCTTCTTCTGCTTCTTCTTCTCCTCCTTTTACTTTTTCGTTTTCTTCTTCCTCTTCCTCTTCCCTATCAGTCACTCACTAACTTTACTTTGTAGAGCCAGGTATGATTTTAACAGCTTGCCTGTAAGTGTTTTAGCAGCAGCCTCTTGCTGCCGGCATAACTAAACGACCCAATTTATTTATTTAAATCGATCAGCTGTATTTCAAAGTTTGTTTGCACAGCGAGACAGAGAGAGAGGTGGGGCTAGAGAGAGAGAGAGAGAGAGACAAGAGAGAAGGAGATAGAGAGAGAGAGAGATAGACATTAGACAGAGAGAGAGACAAAAGACAGACGGAGAGAGAAAGAGAGAGAGAGAGAGAGAGCGACAGAGAAAGAGAGAGGTAGAGAGATAGATAGACCGCCTCCATCACCACCGCCCCCGGTTCGTGCTAACGCACTGACTCTCCTCTCCTCTCTAACTGTCCTCTCTGTGCAGGTGCGTGCTAACGCGCTCCTCTCTAACTGTCCTCTCTGTGCAGGTGCATGCTAACGCGCTCCTCTCTAACTGTCCTGTCTGTGCAGGTGCATGCTAACGCGCTCCTCTCTAACTGTCCTCTCTGTGCAGGTGCGTGCTAATGTGCTCCTCTCTAACTGTCCTCTCTGTGTAGGTGCATGCTAACGCGCTCCTCTCTAACTGTCCTTTCTGTGCAGGTGCGTGCTAACGTGCTCCTTTCTGTGCAGGTGCGTGCTAACGCGCTCCTCTCTAACTGTCCTCTCTGCGCAGGTACGTGTTCGCGTCTCTTCGAGGGCAGGAAGGGTTTCTGTGTGAAGTGCCTGCTGCTGCTGGTCGCCTTCATCGCCGGATTCTTCATCGGCTACGCGATACAGCGCCACCTACACTACAACACCGTGAGTAACAGCGCCCTCGCGTGGTCATATATATATATAGATATATCTATATATCTATATCATGTATGTGTATATATCTATATCATGTACAGGGGTCGAAATTAGATTTTGATTATGGTATCCATTCGGGATACCAGGTATTGAAATCTGGTATCCCCCAAAGATTTGGTATCCCATTTTTTGGATAGTAATTTTAACAATTGTTTGCCTTCGAAACTCATCGCTCGCATTCATTTTACATACGCCGCCACAGTACACTGCAGACATATTGTCTAGACGCATTGTCTGGTTTGCTTGATACAATGTATACACATCACATTAATTTTACGCTGGCACTTGCAAATATGCTATGCCTGCTGTATAATGCTAGAGTGGCCTGTGCCCGCTCAGATCACCCTCAGATCACGCGCACTCGCTCAGATGCGCTGCCGTATAAAGTTGATGACTCAACAACCACTATCCCGATTTACCAAGCATACCAAGCATTGAAATCTGGTATCCAACACAAGAATCTACTATCCCGCGGATATCGGGATACCGCTAATTTCGACCCCTGAATGTATGTGTATATATCTATATCTATATATCTATATATCATGTATGTGTATATATAATAACTATATAGTATCTAATATATGTCTATGATGGTGTATGTATATATAGCTATTCGTATATATATATCTATACTCATGTATTGTATACTAATAGTATATATATATTATATCATGTATGTGTATATATCTATTATATATAATATACTATATATCTATGATCAATGTATCTGTATATTAGTATAATAATAATCATATATATCTATTCATGTATGTGTATATATATATATCATATATATATGTATGTGTATATGTATATATGTGATCTATAATATGTCTGTGCTATATAAAGTCATATATTATGTATATATAACGCGAGCCGACAGACTACTACACTATGTATATATATTATATATACATATATATGAAAGTAAAGTCACACACAAACACCCATGTAGATAAAAACCAAAAGTCAGAATTATTGACATAAGCGGTGTTTAAATTTGTAATTAAAAGCCTTGTTGAGATTCACATCTTTTCATCAGGTCCAGCTGAATCCAAATGTCTTGCGTGACCTGAGTGAAGAGATGTAATCTCGAAAGCATGTATTCAATGTAAATTTTAAACCTTATTCTATAATTTGACTTGGGTTTTTACTCACTGACATAGTCACTGCAGCTTGTAGAATCGAGATGATCGTCGGCATCATTCGTACCGTGCCGAAGCAGGCGTCCGTCCGTCCGTCAAACTAGTTGGGCGACAAATTTAATCCGCTCGACGTCACGGTCAACGATATTCGGGGAACGTGGGGGGGTAATCGAAAAGATTGTGATGTGAAGCTGGGGTCAATAGTAAGTCATATGAGGTGTAAAACGAAGGGGGAACATTTTCACTCCTTTAACTAGGTATAGGAAAATGCAGCATTGCGGGCACAAATTAAACGGCTCGACTAGGCTCGTGATAGTCGGTGGTATAGGCATCATGGTAGGAAAAGCATCACTGCTCCGAACATTTGAGGTCCAGTTCAAAGTCAATGGGCAAGGCAGATTTTTAAAGACATTTCTGATGACATGGTCTGAGCGGAGCGATGAAAAACTTTTTGTTGTGAGCGGGACTAGCATTTTTATGGCTTTATTGAAAGGACCATGAAATATGCTTTCACTGACATGCGAAGAGTAAGTGTGTATAACCATTTTGGACCTCAAGAGGGGGTTAAACATTGATTTGTTGACTGTTAAAACAAAGGACTGAACTGGCTTTTGGCTATTATTATGAGCCCATACTGTGTAATTGTGAGCTACACGTTGGCCAGTTTTAATTGCAAGGCAAATGTTGTTGAATCAGGTTTTACGGTCGCTTAAATGAATTCATTTTCTATAAGCAGTCTGTCTATAAGCACCCTGCCCTGGGCTGAAGGCTGGAATGATGAATCAGTGAATGCTCGCATGATCAAAACTACGGGACGCTTCTAATATAAATTGTTGCCTGCAACCTGGCAATGCACGTGTACTCACAGCTGAGCGTAAATTATGCTGCTGAATCTAGCTTATCTTGGATTTTACGCTGTTACGTACAGTAGGATTTCAGGAATGAGGGCAGATGCGCATCTTTGATTATTGATTACACTTTGCCAGGCTGCCATCTCGCGCACTATGAAGGCCTAGTTTAAATTAGAGATTTATTTCGTTAGTGTAACTTTGTTAAAGCGAAATCAGATAATAACTAGATACCATAGTAATATATAAATATTTTACTTTTCATCTAAATTTAACATATATCATGTAGCTATGGCTGTGGTATCATTTTACCTGTATCGAAATAAGATGTTTACTATGAAATATTGAGACCTAATATATGATTTCTATAAGTGTTACACTCAGGGGGCATAGAAGAAAGTAGTTATTGAGGGGGCGAGTAAAAGGAATCATCGATATGTTGGGTATTTTTAATTTTTTTATATATTAAGAGAGAGAAGAGAGAAATCAAGATAAAGAGAGAGAGAGAGTAGTAAATGAGACGGGGACAGAGAAAACGGTGATACGGTGATGTATGCGCGGGCGGGAAAACGGGTACAATTAGGTCGTGGCGGGATGGTGTGCCAAGGGGATGGAAGGTGGAGGCAGGGAGGAGTCGAAGGCAAAGGGAGGGAGATGGAGGTAGGGGTGGAACGTGAGAGCATAGGGAGTGAAGTGGGAGGCAGGGAGGGAAAGAGGAGGGAGGTGGACGAGTGGGGAGGGAGGTGAGGAGAAGGAATCTCCCATCCCCTCATAATTATACTGGGAATCAATGCAGGGTTCTCCCCAGGATGAAATTTCAACAGAGGGGGAGGGGAGGGAAGGGGAGGGGGGGGGACTAGGGGGCGTGTTTTTTACCGTACCACTAATTCATGCGTAAAATCGACCACACGCCAAGAGGTATTTGGTCTTGTATATATAAGAGAGGCCGAGTCGTGTGTACGGTGTAGGCCACGTTAAGTGTTGGGTGAGAAGGTTGAACTGTTAATATTTGTCTGCAGTGCATGCGGTGGTCATGTAAAATACACGCGCCGGGTGATCCTGCGAATTGTACTATCTTGAGATCGATTCGGCGGCTGTTCAAAACCTGTTATTTGTGGTGAGAATTTTCAGAGCTGCAAACGGGGGGAGAGTAATCAAAGGGCGAAGATTCACACGGGGGGAGTTTTTCAAACGGGCGGCGGCGGCCCGTTTGCGGCATCGTGGGAGAACTGCATGCCTCATATGTTGAAATCATTTATAGATATGAAAAGAATAGATAGGTGGAATTATGACACAAATTGAATTTGGGGTGAGAAGGAGGAACGGGGGGGAAGGAAAGATGAGGGAGGAAATGGAAAGGGAAAACGAGTGGGAAAGGAAGCATCATTTAATAAAATAAACAAAATCGCAATGGGGGGGAGATAGTGAGGCGGTGTCCTAAAATGATGTGTAGCGCAACTGCGTATCTGCATATCGCGCCTAACAATGTGTGCATTCTTCTACTATCGACTGCAATGTGTAGCGCTCATAACGTAGCAACAGACCCAGATTGACGCCAGACGCTCTGCGGCTCTTGTTAGCTCATCTGACGTAGTCGATGCAGGTTGGAGAACGCATGATCGTACGTGCCACTTGGCACAAATTTAACGGCTCGACGTACGGTGCACGATCTGATTTCTTACATCATCTGACATAGTCAGATGCAGCTTGTAATAATCGCATATCGCCGTCTCGCCGTCGGTCGTCGTCCGTCGTGTCCGTACCGTCCGTCAACAGTTGGGCACAAATTTAACCGTCGACGACGTCACGATATTTCGGGTCATTGGGGATTCTCAAAACGTAGTTGGATTCGAAGCCTGGGTCAAAGTCAAAGGTCAAGAGGTGTAAAAGAAGGGGAAATTCACTACCTTCACACACTAAGGTATAGGGAGGAAATGCCAGAATTTGCGGGCACAAAATCCTATGAACGGCTCGACCTCAGGCTCGTGATAGTCGTGTCTAGCAGATCATGGTAGAGAAAAGCATCACTGGTGCGAAATTGGAGGTCAGGTCCAAGGTCAATGGCACAGGCAGATTTGGAGAACATGTTTTGAGGAATGGCGAACGGAGCGATTGAAAACTTTTTATGTTTAGCGTGACCTAAGGCATTTATTATGCGTTTATTAATGAAAGAAGCATGAATGTCCTTCTGGCTGAATAGCAAGAGTAAGGTGTCGGATAATGACCGTTTTGACGCCTCAAAGAGGATGGAGACAATGGATTGTTGAGACTGTGTAAAAGAAGTTGAACTGCTTTGCTATTAGAGCCCCGAGACTTCGAGCCAGGACAGGCACGGCCGCCCCCACGTCCGCGCACCCATCCCCCTTCCCCTTCCCCTTCCCGACCCCCCCCCGCCGCTTCGCCTGCACCACTCCCACCCCTCCCCCCACCCTCATCTGCGATAGTGTGGCCGTGTCCTAACAAATGATGCTGTACGGCAACTGCTCGTGTCTGCATATCTGCGCCTACAAATGTGGTACCACGCAGACTGAAATTTCTACGTTATAATGTGCAAGCAGACTCAGATTGAGCCCGACGCTCTGGCGGCTTTGTTTTATTATTTACCTGTTTTTCATGTATTTTTCTATCTTATCCATTTCACATTTTTTTCCAATTAATGCAAATTTTGCATGATTTATTATAGCAACAATTAAGGACAGTCGGCCTCTGAGATTTTACTGCATACAACTGTAATTACTGTATATAACAATCGTCTATAACCCTAAATGTATTTAGTCACCAGATACTTAATTTAATTAGTTACACATCACGCTACGAAATTTGAACGGCGCCATGACAGCCGCGACGTGCTGCACCCGAAAAAGTGCGTATTGCATTTTATTTTGCAGGTAAAGTGACGAGGGCTAATCACAAATGCAGATTAATTTCATACTCCAATGCTATTTAATGTAAA